ATCACTTCTAGGAAATGATGGTAAGGATATTATCATACATGTGGACCAAGATTTGTTTGTAGAGAGATTTGTCTATTTTTAGAGAAAGCCCTCGATTATCACAAAGCATATGTCCCAAGATCTTTGCAGATCTCCAAATTTACAAATTCCTTGGTAGTTTATAATTTCCATCATAAAATGCAGGGAAGTAACTGAAATATTTAAGTAACCCACTTAGGCCCTGAATTTATATGCCATAATAATCTATAATGTGTTCATAATGTCATTAAAATATATTCTTACTAAAGCACTCAAAGAATATTTCAGAATCACTTTTTGTTGTTTCATACAAGTTGGTCTTGTTTATATCATAGATCCAGTCCCTGGGAAATTTTGACATTCCATTCTGATTTATTTAACTCTTCTATTTTCTGGCTCAGAACTATTATTTTCTTAGACCTCTTTAATTTTTCTTCACTCCCATCACAGCCTTAAACATGGGGAGACCATTTTACACAAAGACACAGTTTTGCTTTGTTTTTATCATTTATTAAAGTTACTGCATATGGGGTAATAACTGGAACATAACCTCAGTGAGCTGAGATTTAAATTTCAAGTGCTTGACTAGGTTCCTTCACTAGATCAGGGCGTCCTCCCATGTGCAGCCACATGGCATTCCAGATTCAGACCCATCCCTAGAAAAAGAACTATTTTTTTGGTCAAGGGTTGTTCTGGTGACAGCTTATGTAGTGAAAAGAAGAGACTTGTGTTCAAAAATCCACTGTCCTGGATTTAGTTTAGTCATGTTTTAGTTTAGTCATGTTACTTTGAACTCAGTTCTTCAGTTTCCTCATCCATAAAACATGAATGAAAATCTTCATCTGGCAAGTTTATTATAAAGATCAGTGATAATATAAGTGCCTGGCACAGGACTGATGCAAGTAACTCTTATTATTATTACAAGAAATTTAGTCCTAGAAAATATTAATAAAGTTTCAAATGCCAAGCAAAAATTAGAAAAATCTTAAAGGCCTCTAAATAGGGAAAGCTAAATAAATTATGCTCATGGGCTATTGTACAACCATTCAAAATTAGATTCACAAAGAATTTTTAATGACAGGAGAAATTCTTATATTTTAACTGGTTAAAAAACAGCAGGAACCAGAAATTTATGAACAATATGATGAATATATGTATACACATACACAGAGAGAGAGAGAAAAAAATCAAGCCCAAAACAACTTTACAAATATTAGTTATCTCTGGGTGGGACTATTAGCAATTTTTTTCTACTGTAAATGTCCTGTATTTTCCAATATATGTGTATCTATAATAAGCACATATTGACTTTATACTGAGAAAAGTTATTTTTAAGTATCTGGCACATAGGTGGCTATGTTCTCTGACTGTAGGAGGTACTGACATTGTTTAAAGTTTATATGCTAGTTTGACCTTAATATGACACATATGTATCTGGCCCAAACCAAGATAGACAAAAATGTACTCCCCAAGCTCTAGCGTTGATGAGAATTGATCTGACTAGGGTATAATTTTGTATTCCCCAACAGTGAGGATAAAATAGAAGACAAAATTTGCCTCTTGTAAACATCATAAATAATGTAACGACAGAATTATAAAATTTCAGAAAAACATGATTGCAAGTTTCACATTTTGTTTAAATGCATTCACTAAGATTATTTAGTGAATAACTAAGATTATTCTTAGTTATAATAACTTCTTAGTTATAATAACTAAGATTCTTAGTTATTATTCTTAGTTATAATAACTTCTTAGTTATAATAACTAAGATTAGTTCTATCTTAGACAGAGATGAGTGTCTCTCTGCATGAATTGGCATGTCTAGGTTACAATTTGAAAACACCCCTGAAAAGTTTATGTTTGATAATGCCATCTAGTAATGGTGCTTGAATAAAGTATTCCTTAACACTAAATGTCTTGATTTCATTTCAATTTTATTTATTTTTAACTCTCAGTTTTTGTTTTGGCAGGTGAAGTTCATGATGACCAGAGGCAGAATACAGACATAACTAAGGTGCGGAGGTGATAAAATTTTATTCTTACTTTTAATTTCTAATAATGGTACATGCTTTTCAAAAATGATGCATACTGAGAGACCTGATTTCTACTATGACCAGATAAGATATTTATGCATAACATTAAAAAAATAGATTCATATGGTTCAAAATTCCTTTTCATCCAGGTCCCCCAACTACAGAATTCCCACTTTTAAAAATTCTTTTGGAGATATTTATGTATATACAAGCTAACATAGTTTTCCATTTTTTATGCATATTATACATAGTGTTCTTCAACTTTCTTTCTCACCAGTGCAACTTGGAGATCTTTCTAGATCAGTAAAATAAAAAGTGCACCCTTATTCTTTTTAATGACTTAATAATATTGTGTTATATTGTTGTTACATAATTTATGCAAGGAGACACCAATGGACATTTGGGATATTTCCAATATTTTGCTAGTAAAAAAATTCAGAAAAATAACATTGTGCACAAATATTCAAGTGGATCCTCTACTAACAATTCCATCTTTAGAAGTGAAAGTGCTGAATCCAAAGTTTTGTGTATTTGTAATTTGATAAATATTGCCAACCCTCTTTAGAATTTGTACCAACTTACCTGCCACAAGCAATGTATGAGTGCTGCTTTACCCCATCCTCACCAACACAATGTTGTATCAAAGATTTTGATCATTGACAAAACTATGTGGAAAACGGTATATCAAAATGATTCTAACTTTAATTTCTGTTACTATGAGTGATGTTGAACATCTTCCATATATTCCAATAGTCTATTGTATTTCCTTTTCTGTGAACTTCTGGCTCGTAATTTTTTACCCACTTTTCTGTTTGATTATCATCCACCCATGGTTTCTGGGGATAAATGTCATTTGTTATGTTAAATTGTTTTTTTCAAACATTCTGTTTGCTAACAATGCTTTATTTAGATATGTGCATTGGTATTTATAAGATGCATGGATCCTCAGTGTTTATTTGGGGGGGGTAATGTTTGCTTTGCTACCAATGCTATATTTGCTTTAGAAATGTTATGTTTTTCCTTATTTTAATAGTCTATAGTGCAGTTCATATAACATCAAAATGACCTGTGCCTTGAAGTTTTCAAAGACTTCTGTAAAATCATGTGGTCCTGGTGCTGTTGGGGTGGTAACCCCTTGATAATGTTCTCTGTTTTCTGTAGTAGTTATCTACCTCTCATGAAACGCTTTGGAAAATCATATTTTCCTAGAATATTCACCAATTCAATAGGATTTTCAGATTGATTTGGAGAGTTGAACAAAGAGATCTCTTATAGTTCTTCTAATTTCCTCTTTATCTGTAGTTATTTCTTTTTCTCATTTCTTATTTTTTTTGTTTTTGTTTTTGTTTTCCCCTCTTGATTATGTTAGAAAGTTGCCCTTTTCTCCTCCAAAAAGTACAACCTTTGAATTTATTTGTTATTTATATTATATTTTCTTGTGTTTTAATCAATAAGTTCTGATTTTATCTCTATTAATGCCGTCATTCTTCATTCCTTGGGTTTCTTTAGTTATTATTTCCCTAACTTCATACTTGGATGCTTAACCTTTATTTTTATTCTTTCCTTTTTTATAATACAAATATTTATGGTTATTAATTTTCCCCTGGACACTGCTTTAATTTATCAGGTGGATTTTGATATGTAGTTTATTAAAGTATCTATTTTTACCATATCAATTTGAATACCTATATTGAACCATGAATTTTTAAGGAAGAGTTTTATAATTTTGGTGGGGGCTTTTTTCTTCTAATTTTATTGGACTTTTAATAAAAGGATAGATTTTTATTATTTCTACTTTTTGAATTTATTGGGGTTCTCTTTGGGGCTTACTATGATCAATTGTTGTCAATGGTCCAGGATCCTTATAAGAGAAAGCATATGTATATTCTGTTTCCAAAGTGTAAATTTAGCTAGATGTCATGTATTTATTTTTAACAGAGAAAATGCTTTTATTTATTTATTCATTTTTTGTTATTAGTTTCAGGTATACCGAACAATGCAATAGTTTTTAATTTTATTACATTTATGGGTGTGACATTAGTTAATAAGATTATATAAGTTTCCAGTATATGAAATTAGCTAGATGTCCTTTAGTTCCACTTTATTAATTATATTATTTAGGTCTTTTATTTCATTATTTATCTTTTATCTATATTATCTGTTTGAATTAAATAGGTTAATTAAAGTGTTCTGATAATTTCTCTCTATGTATAGCTCTCATGTAGCCTGAAATTTTTGTTTTGTTTTGCTATTTTGGGATGCATTAATGCTTATAATGGTTACATTTTTACTATGAATTACACAAGTTAACATGAAAAGTTTCCTCCTCTGATTTATTTAATCCTTCTTGGCCTGAATTCAGCCTTATTTGATATTAAGATCTTGACTCCTGGTTTATTTTCACTTGCATTTGTTCACCTTTTATTTGCAGTGTTCCTGAATGACTTTGTTTTTTTAGATGTGTCTCTTGTGCACAGCATAGGGTTGGGTTTTGCTCTGCATGCCAATCTTTCAGTAAGGGAGTTTGGGCCATCTACATTGGGCTATATCTTCTCTTAGTTCTGTTATTATAGAGTATACTTTGTATCTTTATAATTTTTAATAGTTCTTTCTCTACATGGACTCTTTGTACATTTCTTGTAATATTTAGAAAAGTATTTCATTGTTTTTCTAGTGTATACTTTCAAGAGTTTATATGATACTCTTAACTCTGTTTTTCTTATGGCAAGTCTATCAATTTCCTAATATGAACAATGATTAAATTGTTAGATTTCTTATTTCCCTTGAGTTATCCTACTATTTTTATTAATGATACTTCTTAATCTTAAATGTATATAGATTCCAGTAATTGATTTAAATCTTTAAATGATATCTTCTGAACTGCAAATGTTAAAATGAAGAAATCAGTATCTTTTCTAAAACTTTTAGCTGTCTTTTCTCCACAGTTAAGGTATATAATATGTACATTTTGTTTTGCCATACTAATCTAATCTCTATTTCTTTTAGACTTAGTTCTTCATTTAAAGAGATTTGGTGTTCACCACTAACTAGTCTGTTTCCCATAGTTGTTCTACTTATCTTTTATTTGGCTGAAGTTTATCTTACAGTTTTGAGAAGGGTTAAGAAATATCTGTTCAGAACTATCTGTTGACTTTACAGTTGATAGACAGTTGACTTGCTTTAATCTCTTTGAATCAGTTTCTTACCTGGGGGTTTTAGGGCAGTCTAAGGTCAGCTGTGTGTTGTATTCTTTACTAGTGAGTTGATCATGTTTTCCCCCTTATACAGTTGTTTTCAAAATTTATTACATGAATAAAATAATCTGTGATTAAATAAGTATCTATGATTCTGGAATAAACACAATTAACTTGAGTGTCTTGTATATGGATGGGTCTTCCTATATATTTGGATACAATATAAAATATTATTCTACAGTCTCCAAGACAAAGTATATATAAAAGTATTTGCCCATCCACTGTTTTTGCAAAGACATTATCACAGGTCTAAATCTTTGAGTAATAAACTTTTAGAGCTACATTTTGTGTTTTTCAGAAGTCAGTGAATTAACAGGGATCTTATTTATTATTGAATAATTTTCACTATTTTGTTCTGTTCTTTATTAAAACCTATTTCTTTCATCTTATTTTTTTTTTACTAAACAAACTTGAAAGTATAAACTATACTGTTGTTAACAACAAGCGCAATGTTGTACAGCAGATATCTAGAACTTTTTCATCTTGTGCGATTGAAAACTCTGTATAGCAACTCCCCGTTTCCCCNAGCCTGATTTATCTTTGGAGTCTGATTTATCTCAGTAAAAGCCGTATTTTATATTTGCTTCCTATCATCTCTGGAATTGAGGTTGGTGCCTGTGTTTTTGTGAGAATTTAGTATTCATTCCTGAGAATTTGCACTACAGAGGGCTACTTTGAGTGGTCAGACAAGCTGTATAGTCAACATCTGGTTCCTCTTTGTATGCTTTTGTCAGGATACCTGCCCTATATTTGGATTTTCAAGCATTCTATTTCTATGTGACCCTTGTTTCTCCCACTGTGGTCAAATAGCAGACAGTTCTTTCTGCTGAGAACATAGAAGCTGTGCAGAAGGTTTCTGCTGGGCTCCCCTGGACTCCCAATCTCACTTCACTGGATCCTGAGTGTCTGGTTTCTCAATATGGAAATCTCAGGAAGTAAAGAAAATCCAAGAAAGAGAGGAAAAACTCCCCTTTGTCTCCTGATGGGAAACTTCACACACTGCCAAATAATTTAAAGCAAGATTTGACCTTGAACAAAATTAAGAATGCAAGAAGTTGATTTTCATTCTCTCCTGCCTTTTGACCTCCCTTTTCCAACCCCACCCCTGTAACTCATGGTCATCATGGTTTTCTCACCTCTCCTCTGCTCCCCCCCTTCTCTTGTAATGGACCAGATGATTTTCAACCTGGACTTCCACAAGCCCTCAGTTACATGGTGCATTTTGTGTATCACTATAATGATGACTGNCATATATACTAATGCATTTTCAATAAGAAAAATAAAACTGAATTAGGACAGCTGCCAAGGAACTTACAAGAAGGTACGTGTAGGTGGGGTACATACAGAAGGTTAAACCATAACAGGGAAATATGTAAATAAATGCATACAGCATATGACATTTATTATTTATTTATTTATTTATTAGTTTCAGGTGTACAAAATAATGTAATAGTTAGACATTTACAAACCTCACAAAGTGATAATCCCCTCCCCCAATCTGCTACACCCTCTGACATCGTATATAGTTGTTACAATCCATTAACTCTATTCCCTATGCTGTACTCCATATCCCGTGACTATATATATATATATAAAATTACAGTTGACATTCAATATTATTCAGCTTCAGCATCAGGAGTACAGTACAGTGGTCAGGCATTTACACTGTCCATGCAGCAGTGGTCTCCCTAATAAGACATGTACCCATTTGACACCCTACAAAATCT